TAGTAAAAGTCTATGAAGTTATTGAAAAAGTAACTTTGACTATAACTAAGAAAGTTTTTATCAAGCTATATCTGAGCAGTAGCAAAAATAATAGCCTAATTGAATATGCTATTTTGTATAATGTAAACTTTATATACTCATTACAGTTGATGCTTTAAAAAATTTCTTTCACACTTTTTTCCAAAAAATTTTTATTGAAAAGTAGATAATCTAGCTTATCTTTATTGAAATTAGTATTGTTGATCCTTTTAAATCAGAATTGTTTATTAGTTCTATTTAGAAAGGACCCATGTTGCAAATAAAGCATGAGTATATATGTTTTAGAAAAACATAAAAATAAGACAAAATTAGAGATTTTTAGCAAATAATAAGATGATTGGTTGAAATGTAACAAGTATCAAAATGTAAGATCTGATAAAAAGTATAATGAGTCATACATTAAGATGGATTTAGTGACAAGAAGTCAAAGCATTAGACATATGAAAAATTCTCTGCCAGTTTAGTTTTAGTTAAATTGTTTTTCTTAGGATATAAGCTTTAGTATTAAATATGTTAATTAAATAAAGTTAAAGTAGAGATTACTGTATTTAGTAATATATAATTTTTAGTAGATCAACACAGCCTTTATAATTAGTAACTATTTGTTTGGTCTTTATCAGCAATCACCTTTCTTTTTATTTCTTGATATTTGTTTTTTTTTATGTTTTTCTCTTATATATGTTTTTTTTAGTATATTTCTTCTTAACAAGAAAATTTTTTTTGGTTTTTTATCTTCTTATGAATGAATGGTATCAAATTGGTGCTGTTTAGTTGTAGGATGCCAGACAGACAGGCTCAATTCAGACTTTAGCAAGTTTGGTGCAACAGGTTACTCATAGGTGCCAATTAGAGTAATTATATAATGATGGCATATGAAGTTAGATATAGTTCTATTTATATATTGTCTGTATTAAACATTTATAAATAAACTTCTGACTGGTTAACCATCATGGCTGCCAAAGATAAAAAAAAACAAAAAAAAACAAAAGACAAAGTTTCTAAAAATTAATTATAACAAAAAAACAGCTTTCTGCACTTTAGTTCTTTTTATAATCTTGTTGTCAACTATGTTAACAACTAAAGTAAACAATAATAGTAATAAAAAGAATAACAACAAAATACACTTAGCTAAAATCCAAAAGAAAAAAGCATAACCTGCTTATATATATACTAATAATAACAACATAATAGGTAAATAAAATAAAAAAAGCATAAACCTAATTATATCATTACTATTTCTATTCAAACAAATGCTAGAAAAAATGTAATAAAAGATATTCTCAAAGAAAAAGAAAATTTAACCTTATTTTAAATTTTTAAGATATAACATTACTAGTAAAAATAAAAATAACATCAAATTTAATTTTGAATTTATATTAACTAATAAAAAAATATTTTTATAAATTTACAAATTAACTAGAACCTAATCTAGGATCCTATTATAATTAACACAATTCTTCATACACAAAAACAAAATAAAGATATAAACAAATTAATTTAGTTAGAACCAGCCTTTAGACCTAGTACACTTATAAAAAATAATACAAACAAACAAATACTAAATATAGAAGTAGATTAAGATACAACAAATATAAATAATAAAAAAGAAAAAACTCACTCAATAGATACAATATTAAAAAAACAAATATAAAAAAAGATATCATATAACTAGGCAGTTACCAAAAGCTTATCAAAAAAAAATAAAAAAACTGCAAATAGCTTTAACAGTAATAAAGAAAAAAAATAGTGCAAATATACACAATCAGGCTTAAAAGAAATTAGACAAGATAGACTAAAACTTTTCAATATAACAGAATTTAATAATTTGTTCACAAAAGTTCTAGACATTTATAAAAAACAATACAATGTATTGGTAAAAATAAAAAACATTAAAACCAAATTTTTAAACTACTACAAATTAAATTAGCAACAGATTATCTAACTAATCTAAACTTCAATTTGATAGATATATAAGAGTATATTTTCTACTTAACAGAATTTCCAAAAATTTCACAGCAACTAAACTTTAAAATAACTATCAAATTTTATTAATAAGGTATTAATACCATTATCTTTAGAACTTATTTTAATTTTTAGTTATTTAAAGAATATCATTTCTTTTAGTCTACCTATCTCAAATTATCAAATTATTGTACCCATAACCAAGACTCAATGTCTAATGTTTTTATTTAATAAAATTTTAAGACATATATTTCAGATAATCATGAACTCTTACTAGATTTATACAAACACCTAAATGATAAAGTATGCAATATCTTTTCTATTATAAGCAAAGCAGATTTACAAAACCTGATTTGATACAGAGAAACTTTGCAGAAATTCTATATTTTTTGACAAATTTCATCTAATTACTTTGAGCTACTAGCACCAAAGAAACCATTATTTTTTACTCTACAAAATTTAACTCTGAGACTAAAAGAAAAATTTCTTTTCATACCTAAAAACCAAGAAGACTTTAAGAACATGTTAGACTTCTGCAAATGAACTACTCAAATATATCATAAATACAATTAAAAAAGCATATAGTACGTATTAATTCTGACCCATTTCCGTTTCTGACAACAGTGATAATTTGAGTATTTGGGTTCGTTTCAGTTCCCAACTCCCGTAACTGAAAGGAATTTTTAATCCAATATCGATCTTTTAAAGTTCCCAAATTTATATTAGTAGGATCATGTAGTACTGCAATAATAAGATCGTAATCGGATTGTGTAATAAAGGTTTTGCGACGTCTAGCAAGTGACTTTTTGTCAAGAAACTTATTAACTAATTCGTTAAAAACTTGTCTCGACATAAAGGAATATTCTTGGGTTGACATTTTAATCGTAAACTTTTACGAAATACAGCACAATTATTTTAAATACATTTATTTATAATTACTAATATTCGATTATTTAAATGCTATTTTTTATGATCCGAAATCGACTTAAGTTGTTTCCGGATTCAAAATCCACTTAAGTAGATTCTGAATCCACCAAATTCCGAATCCACCTACAACATATACAAATTAATCAATTTATAAATTTCAAATTTTGAAATAATATTAAAGAGGGGGGTTTGCTATCCGGTACTGTTCAAAAAAAGATTTGCTTAGGTTTAAAATAAAGTAGATATTACAGTATTAGATAAAATAATAATTTATACTGTATTAAAGTTTATATATAGAATTTTTTTGTAAAAAATGCCAACTTGAAAAAAAGTAATTATCAAATCAAAATAATCAAAAAAATGAATTATTGAAAAGCAAATTTAATATAAAAGAAATAACTGTATACTGTATAGTGTTATATAATACGTAGTAAAAGCTAATACAGTATATATATAAATACATAATAAAATAATTTACTAATTATTTTGAAAAAAAGATAAAATTTTATTCACAAGAAATAAAAATTAGTAAGCAGTACGAATTAATGTAAATATATACGTACATAGCTGATACATAGGATAACGTACGTATCAATTTAATGAAGTTACTAAATAAAGATCGTGCCAAGCAAAATTTAATTAAGTTTTACTTATTCGTACCGGCAATTAAAAACTCTAAAAAAGACAAACCAATTAAAGAATGTAAAAATTTTGATTAACCTGACATAAAACCATAAAACCCAAACATGTACTATAAGAAAAAATAAAATGTAATAACGGTAATAACGATAATGAAATGTAAGAGAAAGCAGATCTTTAAATAGGTCTTGTGAAACCATCTAGAATGAAGAAGCCATAATTTTTAATATAGTATATATATATATCGATATATATATATATATATATCAAATAATAAAGTATTATTATAACTGTATAATAATAACACAGCAAATCTTTATTTTCAAGTTTATGTCAGACACAAAAAATAATACCAGTACCTCGGAACTTATCATAGAGAAACAAAATTCAGTTTAGAAACATTTACCATATTTTTAAACTGTAATTCTGTAATTAGTAAATCCAGGTTCGGTTTAAAAAGTTGATAGTACAATACAGTACCTTTGTGTATTCTATTAGTTTATAATTAAAGCTAGCATTAGGTCAGACTCGGAATAAAGTTAATTAATTAAAAGGAAATCAAATAACGACGATTAATATTTTTAATTGACTTATCGTTATTGTAGATGAATTCAAATTGCGAATCAAAAATTAACAGATTTTGATTTTTTTTTAAAAAAAGTGAATGAGGGGATATAATAAATAATGACGAAAATGAGAGTGATGTGGCGAACCTATCTAATATAATGCGACAATGCCCCTTTAACCTTACAAAGATTGTTATACTCGTGCCCTTATCAGACACTATAATCTAGTGATACCATACCCGGCACTTGCATAGCCTATTTTTTTTAAAAAAAATCGACATATCAGTTTGAATATTGTTCGTACGTATGTACTAATAAAAATAAATTAAAAGTCAAGAGAATAAATAAGTAAATAGTAATAGTAAAATACCATCTAAGAAATAAATCCGGTTAATAATTCAAATCAATAATTCAAATAATTAATTGATTTTCTCATGAATAAAGCTTAGTTTTTTCGGTAAATACACTTTTTAATATTTCCGAAAAGTATCAGCATATCAAAGATAGTCAGTGTTTAATGACAAAGGATGATTGAATCTGCAGAAGATCACTAGTTTTACGCGTGAGTTTCAAGGATGTGTATAGAGTCACATTAATGAATATTATACTTTTGAATAAACATATATAGCTATATCAATGACTCTTCCATTTTGATATATATAACATACATATATAGTAATACATATATTTATAATATGGCGTATCGGCATTCATTCGTTCATATTTGAAGCTTTATTCTTGTGTCCTAACGCTAATAATTTTTAATTCACATAAATCAATTATTGTTTATTCTTATTTTTTTTCTTTTTTTTGTTTATAATTTAGAAAAAACATTTAGTATACGATAAAATAAAAAAAAAGAACATAATGGTTCGAACCATAAAACTTCCTCTAATTAACGGACAAATTTATACGGATTATTCGCCAACTATTTATCAAGGATATGTATGTAAAAAAAAAAAAGGTTTTTGCAATTTCACTTTTGGGAACAATTATTTTATTAATTAAAAATTTACAAAAAATAGTTTACTATCACTCAATTTAACGATCGTATCGACCAATTTAATACTACATCTCGACTTTATATAGAAGGAAATTTCATCAAATATATATTACCAGTGATAATTTTAGTAGGAATTCCTATTGTGGCCAAATTAACAGTTGATGGATATTTCTTTGGCATAGGGTGCCTTATTGGAATTATAGGATTCTTCTGTATCAATTTTATTAACTATGTTTTAAGGCCAAGATCGGTAAGCGCAAGTTCTCTTCTCATTAAATTTTCGTTTTTTTTTTTACGAAAAAAGTTATAGATTAAAAAGGGAGATAGTAATTGTTAATAGAAGTCTAAATGTTAATAATTCTTTTTTTTTCAATTATATATTATGCACTGTTACATGTATTTATAATGAAACGATTTAGCAATTATCTGCATTGATGGGTTTAACACAGAAATTTAACCGAGAAGATAATGTTAAGAACATTAATTGGAAGTTGAATGTAGTTAAAGAAACCAACGAAGGTGATTCTTTATTATATCGGGTAGGCACTACCATGAGTGTCTTACAACCTGTTAAATTGGTAATTTGTGAATATAATTAACAGATACGTATATATATATTTTAATAAATTTATACGCTAATAAATTTATACATTTTATAGGAACTTTTTATCGAACTAGGCACAGCAGCAGAACCAATGTTTATCACACCTAATATTAATGTCATTGTTCATAAAAATCCGAGTCTTCGTCGCGCAACAATCACAACCCATAATTATGGAGCTACTCTTAGCGGAATTACTGCAAGTCATCATGATACAAATAGTGATTACCCAGATTAATAGTTTAGAGAGAGGATATTATTGATGAATTTGTTTGATAAATATTATATTACGCGGAGGATTATTTTTTCATTTAATACAGACTATAATATTAGAGAATGATATATCTAAATAATTTTACGTATTAACTAATACAAGTCAGACCTCGATATAATCACCGGGTTAGTAACCAAAATGTGACTAAGGTGGTAGTGCCTATATAGAGGCTAATTTCTTATGCTTTATAATGGTTAGTAAAACGAGAATAGATTTAATTTTATACTTCATTACGTACTATATCAAAAGTGACTATATCGAGGTCTGACGTAAAAACATTGTTTTTGACCCACTTAACCCACCCATCCTAAAAAATAACATTGTTTTGACTTATGTAATATTATATGATTATATATGGGTGATGGGGGCGATCATGATAATTGCATAATTAATTAATCTGTTTGTGAAACTAAAATTAATCTTTTGCTCTTAAAAAGAAGATAACGAAAATATATACCGTTATAGAAAGAGACCCATATAGTTGTTAAATCACGACATTAAATACACGCTGTAATACAGCAAAGACGTCTCTAAAGTTAAACTATAATAAGAACGGCTATCATCTGATCTCGTGAAATAAAATAAAATAAAATAAAAAATAAAAATACGATTCACACAAGAATGGCATTCGTATCGATAATAACGATGATGTTCAATTATCAATTTGGCGAGCCGATGAACATTATTTATATTCGCTTTCTATATCACAAAATACCCATTACAAAATTCAAAGTCGAGAATAGGACTTGTGTAGTTGACAATGTTAAGTAATATATACTAGATAATTTTTTTTCTTCGAAATCGAGATATTCACGTGATAACATTACATGGGTTAAAAACAGTGTTGGGCTGACCAGACCAATTCGACCATTTGACCTGACCAGTTAGACAAATTTAACTATAATCAAATTTCTTGATTGGTCTGATTTGCTAATTTACTAGACCATTTGACCA